TAAATGGTCAGTAACTGGCTGTGCGGCCGTGGCCAAGCCCTGGCTCTTCTTTAGTCCGAGAACTAAGGACGGCAGCAACCGGCTAGCTCACGTTTGCTGAGCACCTACTATGTGCGGGAGACTGAGCTAAGGGCATCTCGTACCTCATCTCCTCCCCCTGAGGCCCCTCTGCGGTGGGAACCATGACTCTCCCCATTTTACAGGTGAGCAAGTGGAGGCTTGGGGGTGAGTGGACCTGCCAGCCACGTGCCCCCTAAGCACCATCACCCACTGCCCGGCTCCTCATGTCCCAGTGTCCAGCTGGGGCCTGATTTGAGGAATGAACACGCTTTGAAGCAGGTTTTACACTGGGGCAGAATACCCAGCAATGTCAGGCCTGAGACAGACTATTGTCCCCCAGCTCCCTAGGGGGTGGGTTCCATCCCTCTAAAATAAGGACCCTCCTGGTGGAGCCCCCAGAAGAGTAGGCACCTTTTTTTTTTCATAACTGATATAACAGGAAAATTTTTTATTGTGGAACTTTAAAGGCAAATGATTCAAAAAAGAAAAAAACATCATGCAGATTAAAAAGCTAGGTTGGGTGGCTAATTGCAAGAGTGATCATACAAACCTCACTCGAGCACACTAGTTATCAAGTAAGCTCAGAGATGGAAAGCTGGCCTGTATCTGAGGTGGCGAGTCCACCGCAGGGACCACTCTCCCAGGAGACAATTCAAGTTCATCTGACAATAGGAAACCACAGCCAGAAGCACATCTGCCTGGCAGCAACTCCAAGACATTCAGCTAAGCGCAGTTTCATGTCTTCTGTTCATTTTTAAGAAGTATCTATTGTGATAGTTCTCTGCCTGTCTTGCTTCTGGAAAGCTATGAAGTTCTTCAATATTTTTTTCTCTAATTCACTGCATCTCCCATGAGCATGAGCTATGACAAAGGTCAGAGGGACCAGAATTAGGGAAAAAATTAAAGGAGAAAAATTCAAAACTGAGAAACTTGCATCTACCCATTTAATTTCTTTCTGCAATTTGGAGGGAAAAAAAAAAAAAAGCCTTGGCTTCGCGGTCCCTGGTGGGATGCACTGGTCCTCCAGCCACAGGACTGGGCTGGGATAATCCACTCCAGCCACCTGCTGCCAACGTGTCCTTGCGAAGCCACTTCGAGCCCTCTGAGCTCTGGTCTCCCCACCTGTGATGTGAGGACGGTCACAGCAACTAATCGCACCGCTGGGGCTGACACGGGGCGGGGAGTGATGGGGGGACACACGGTGAAGTCAGGCCTCGGGGACCCTCAGCTCCGGGGACGAAGCCCGCGAACTGGATGGCGAGGGTCACTCCACACCTCCGCTCTTTGCTCCTTCCATGTCCTTCCCCCCTCCCCTCCCCCATCTCCTTCTTCAGCACGTAATCCCAGCACCTGTTTGATGCAGAGAGCCCCCTCTCAGAGGCAGGGTGCTGGGTGACAGAACACACAGTCTTACTTTCAGTCCCTGGTCTTTGCTCATTAGCTGGATGGCTTCTCCAAGTGTCCTCATCTGTAAAATAGGGTGTTGGTCCCCACCCTCTGAGGTGGACGATGAGTGTAGCAAGGTGTCTGCGCATAGTAGGTGCTCAACAAATGGGGGCTTTTTTATCACAAGGTTCAGAAATGGAAGCCTTGGGCGGGTTGTTCCAGGCTGCCACGCTCTTACCCAAGTTCTGCTGGACATAACGGTCACAGGGGCAGGGTCCCAGGGCCGAGCAAAAACCCCCAGCTCCAGCCTGAGGGCTGCCCCCCACCCCAGCTGTGGCCGGGATGGCGCCAGCTCACCCAGGCAGGGGGCAGGTGCACGTGAGGCCTACCCCGGGGCAGCAGCTGGCTCTGACTGTCCTGACTGCTTCTCTGGGGTCCAGGACACAGCGAGCAATCGACTAACATCTGCTGAGCGGACCCAGGGGACTCCCTCCCCAGACCTGCCGGGTCCCACCCCAGCACACCCTGTCCACCCAGCCCTGGATCCTGTGCAAAGGCAGGCGACTCTCTCCTAAGAGACCACCCTGGTGGGATGCCTCGGGCATCCTGGAGGATAAAGCCCCCCGCCCCGGACCCTGCCGCACCTCTGGTTCCCGCTGGAAGATGACGACCCGGCCACCCTTGTCGCCTGTGGCCAGCAGCTCTCCGGTGTGGTTGAACTCGACGGTAGATATGATATCGGCTGCGGGGAAAGGAGACAGGAAGGTGCGGCTCATTAGGACCCCAGAGGCCCGCCCCGCAGGGGCCCCGCACCCCTGGGCCGGCCACCATCGGGCAGCAGGAGCCTGTGGGGTCGGAGCACTGGTGGGGGCCACAGCACTGGTGGGGGCCACATGGTCCCCCCCCACCGCCCCCTCACTGCTGGCTGCAGGATAGAGACCTATCCCTGAGGAGCTTTACTGTCTCCTTCCTTCCTCCTTCCCTTCCTTCCAGAAATAGAGACCAATCCCTGACGAGCTTTACCCTGTCTCCTTCCTTCCTCCTTCCCTTCCTTCCAGAAGCAGTTTGGGGGCGTTTCCTCCTGCGCTGACTGGGTGACTGGGATGCACACCTGACACTTAGGGGCCACCAAGACCAACGGTAGCTGCCCGTGGAAGGGCCCCCTGGCATCTTCGCGTTCCAGGCCTGGCTCTGCGGGCATGGAAACCGCTCATCCCGCTTCAGCACGCCGCATCCAGACGCACCGCAGGTCCGAGCGGGCCTCCCAGCTGCACCAGGTGGGGCGCTTACCTGGCCCCGCCCCCCCTCTACCCTCCTCGCAGCCCCCAGGTGATAGTTCACCTGAGTTGGGGCAGGGGCGGGGGAGGGGTCTGCTCAAAACCCTCCGCTGGTCCCCAAACGGAATCCTTTTCCCTCCCAAAACCTCTCAGTGCAGCAGCGCCCCCATCCCAGGTGTGGCCGAAGCCCGAGGCTTCGAGTCACCCTGACTCCCCCGTCTCTCCTCCCCTCTCTCCCTCGCTCCCTCTCTCCCTGTCACCCTCACACTCCACATCTAATCCTACTGGCTCAGTCTTCACAATACATCCGATCCCAACACGTCTCCCCGCCTCCCCCCGATGGATGACCAGGCAGCCTCCTGTGGCTCCCCTGAGCTCTCCTCGCTTCCTCCCTGCCCCCACCAGCCTCCACAGGGCAGCGAGAGGGAGCGGGCTGGTCCCCCACCTGGTCTCAGAGTGAAGCAAAGGTCTCTAAAGCACTTTGTGATCTCAGCCCAGAGGCAGACCACATCTCCTGCACCTGCACGTGGAACGCAGCACAGCTGGCCACCCTGCGCCGGGCAACCTGCCGCCACCTGACTCTGGGCTTGGTCCTGTGATTTGCTTTGGCCTGCGGGACTCCAGCAGACAAGCCTCTGTCCTGCACCTCTGCCAGTGCCAGGAGAAGGACCTGCCCAGACTAGCCCAAGAGGTCCCAGGAGGAAGAGAAAGGACATGTGTAATAGAGCCAACCACCGCCCTGCCGAGCCAGGCCTGGGCAGAGTTCCCACGGCCCAAACAAGCCTAGATCAGTGAAACTGGCAGATGAGTAACAAAACCCGTCTATTGTTGAACACCAGGGAGTCCTGTGTTTCGAACTCAGGAAAGGTAACTGACACCCTCTTTCCCCCGCCTCGTCTCCCCGCTTTTCTCAGAAGGACCAGCTACCTTTTGTCTCAAAATCTGTTCTCTCAGCCTCACGCGGTTTTCCCGCTTTTATTCATTAAAGGCCTTTTTTCCCCCCAGTCGGCGCCTGTCAGAGGCAGCTCCTGACCTGCACGGGTCTGAGCCGCAGGTAAATGCCAGCTTCGAGGGCGAAAGGAAAATGGAGAAAGAAGGTGGTTTTGAACGATGGGCTAGACACATCGATCGAGAGAAAAGCACATTTCACTACACTTCAAAAGACGGAGTAAGACAAGGAAGGCAGCTCTTCAGGAAGTGATCATTGAGTGTAGACCTGGCAACGGGGTCCCTGCCGCCTGACACTGTCCCTCCATGGGGCAGCCCGCTCTGACCCAGGGACACGGGAAAGCCACAAGCCGGAGCCACAGCCTGGCAGTGCCGAGGTTCCCCCGCGTGGCACTGGCTCTTGCTATTTTCTCCCAGCACGCCCTCAGGGGGAAAGAGCGAGATATAACATTGTGTATAAAATGTTTTTAATTATCTAGGCCAGTGATCACAGCCGGATCAAATAGCAAGCAACCTGGGCAGAGGGAAGAGAGCTGGAAGACAATTTTCCATCATGTTAGCAGAGCTTGTTTTAAGGTGGTCGAAATAAAATATTCTTCCTTCTCTTTCTACTTTTCTATGTTTTCTAGATTCTTCTGTAATGAATGTATACTTTTATAGTTCCATTGAGATAGAATGGATGTACAAAAATGCACTTATCTAATACATACGATTTGATGAGTTTGGACATATGCATAATTTATATTATTTTTATGATGAAGAAATAACAATGCTATTAAATTTAAATGGCAGCGTAACCATTGGTACCCAGAGCGAACGTGGTCCATAAATGCTGGGCGGTTACCACAGTAACAGACACTAACGACTGCAGGCAATTTACAATTTATGTGTCAGTTTCAGATGCACCGCCTCCTCTGACCCTCACGCCAGCCCCTGAAGGAGGCGTGACTGTGACTGAGGAGATAAAGGTCCCCGCCTGGTGCTACCCTCCTGAGCTGTTCGTGGACAAGTCAGAAGTCCAGGGTTGGATCTTGGCTCCAGTGCCTCGGCTGTGTGGCCTCAGGTCAGTCCCGCCACTTCTGTGAGGCTCTGTGTCGTCATCCATACCTGGCCAAAGTAGAGTCTACCCAGGATTAGAAGCTCTGTGGAGACGGTGGAGGCGAGCGGGTTTGGGAGCAAGGGAGGGATCTAACGAATGGTTGGTTACCAACGTTTACCAAACAGAAAGCCGAAGCTCTTTGCCATCTTTGATTCTGGTCTCTGCAGAATCGCAGTGGCCAGCCCAGAAAGGAGCGTGACGAATCCGTGACTGAACCTCGCCGTGCAGCCCTGGGGGTCCTGACCACCAGCCTGTCCAGTCCCGTCCCACCAACACGTACGCAACAACTGGGGGACCTCAGGCCAGGGCATTGCTCCCTTGGGAGCTGGGCGGGTGGATAACACCGATTTGCAGTCATGGTAAATGTCTTCTAGGGTTCGCCTTAGGAAAGTTACCTCGAGCTCCCCAAGTGACCAGCCCAGTGACAGGTCCACAGTGGGAGCTGGAGCCAGAGAGGGGAAGTCAAAGATAGTGCCGTGGGTTGAACTGTGCACCCCGAAATATACTTTGAAGTCCTAGCCCCGAATACCTGTGACTCAGACCCTATTTAGAAATAGATCTTTGCAGATGATCAAGTTAAGATACGATCATCCTAGAATCCAGTGGGCCCTAAATCCAATGACCAGTGTCCTGAAGACACAGGGACACACAGACACCCAGGGAGAAGGCCACATAACCACAGAGCAGACGGTGGAGTGATGCGCGGGCAAGCCAAGGCAAGTCAGGGGTAGCCGGCCTTCACCAGAGGCTGGGAGAGGCCCACAAAGGTTGTTACCTGGAGCCTTCAGAGGGAGCACGGCCCCAGTGACACCTTGATCTCAGACTTCCAGAACTGTGAGCGAATAAATCTGTGCTGTTTTAAGCCACTGTGTTTGCGGTGATTTGTCACGGCTGCCCTGACCAGCACAGCAGGAGAACAGAGCTGTCACAGGAGGCACCAGCCCTGGAGGACAGGGCTGAACCCCTGCTGGTGCCCCATGGCAGCGGGGGGCGGAGGGTCAGCCCTTGGATCTCAAAGATGCCCACTGTGATTGTCACCAAAAAGAAGGTATTCGAGGTGCTGGCTGTGTGACCTCACCCAAATCACTCACCCTCTCTGAGCTCTGCCTGTCTCATCGACGAAATGGGACTTGTCATTCCTGCCTGGCCAGCGGTCCCCAGGACTTATGTGATGATCTGTGGACTGGAAGGTTCCCTGGAAACTCTGGCAGAGGCCAGGGAATGCGGGGGGAGCGGGGGTTTGAGGTGCTGCCAGCACAGCTCCCGCCCTGTGGCCCATCACCGCCCGTCACTGTAAGTGTCGTCAACACCATTAATGACCCATCACACGTCAGAGCTCACAGCCGAGAGGGGGCCCTCGGAGACCCCGGCTCGGTCCTTCTGGCCAGGCTGTCATATTTAATTAGTATCGTCGGAGGCATCGGGGCTGGTGAGGATGGAGGTAAGAGAGGAGAGGGGTCTGCCTGCTGCCGCACAAAGGCTCGGTGACAGGACGGAGGTGGGTGTGCCCCACACTGGCCTGCGACGCGGCAAGCCAGCTTATCCAGCATCTTCTCGGGCTCACATGGGCAGAGCGTCCAGGCAGGCCCCTGGGGACTGAGACGAGGGAGGCCAGCAAGCCCTCAAGGGCACTCTAAGTCCAGGGAGCCACATGTAAGGGACGAAGAACTGGAGAAGTGACGACTTCAGGGTGGGGAGGGCCTGCTGGGGACTGTGACACAGGATCGGGGTCATGGGGCGCGAGGAAGGGTGACGGACTTGGGGCGTGGCTTCTGCATCCACACCCTGCACAAGACTGGCAGCCCCCCGACCCAGACACAGAGCCCGGAGCCTGCTGCCTGCCCGTGACCCGCCTGTGCCCTGCTCTGGCCAACGGAACATGGAGGCCGTGAGAAGGTGCTGGGTCCAAGCCTTGGCCGCCAGAGAGCCACTCAGGCCGTGGAAACAATGCCACGCTGGCCTGCGGGAGGGTGAAACCACGTGCCGCAGAGACCAGCTGAGGCCGTCCTCGGCCAGTGTGCGGTCAGTCCCCAAGCGTGGGACAGGGCCCAGCAAAGCCCAGTGGAGACAGCTTCCCGACCCACAACTACGGCGCACATGTGCGCGAGCTGAGCCAGCGTGCGCGGAAAGCCCCGGCAAACCCCCAGACGTGAGCGACAGCGAACGCCACCGTCCGAAGCCGCCAAGCTCGGGCGGCTGGAGAAGCAGCGGCGGCTGAGCCGGAGCGGGCTCAGGGCAGAGCCGCCTCCCGGCACCGTTAGTGCAGAGCACGGCCGGCCCATCCCGCTAGGCCCCGGTTTCTGCAGGTGGGGATGTCACTTAAAAAGACTTTCCTGATGAGAGGAAGCTTGCAAGCTGCAGCCTAGGTTTTGGGCCGGGCACGCTCCGCTCCCCGACGCACGCAAGGCGCCTCGTCCG